GCTCAAGCTCAAGTAAGGATTGACACTGTCATATCCTGCATTCTGGATTCCAGACTTATCACACAAATGATTTCTGGATTTCTGGATCTGGCCAACTTCTATCTTCCGTATCTGTTTTCTTCTCAGTTAGCCCCTGTCTCCAGACATCAGGATATACCCATAACTGGCTGTACTTAATTTCTGTCCTTTCTTCATTTCCTGTCTTCATTTAATTGACTGCCGATAGACTAGTGTTAGGTGTTCCATATTCTCCATCCATAGCCTCACATAGCCTTGCACTGTGCTGACTGATTCTCCGTTAAGTCCTCAGTAGTACATATATAAACCCTGTAAACTCTCAGTGGTTCCTCAGTTCAAATACTATCTTAGACTCTGCTCATTCCCTCCTCTGTTCGACTTGAGTTTCTCCTCTCATTGTCCTCTGTCAGTCTTAGGATTGACTCCTATAGACTTCTCACCTCCACCTCTACCTCTGGTAGTCCTTGCTGTGTCCTTCCTAGTTCAGACATCATCCAGATTAGTCTTATCCCTTATTCCCAAATGTCTACCAGAATTCCTGTGCATCGGACATCAGTCCAACAGCCTTTGGAAGTTGGGGGCACATACTCAGGTAAGGGATGCAGCGCATAAGCTGAAGCTAAGCCCTTCGGATTCAACCCTTGAGCATGTTCTTAATACAATGGTGCTGTTAGAGGCCCATTTTTTTCAACTGGCTCATCTTCATCCATAGATCCTGCGCTATTGGTGGGAGTATTACTAGGCAGTAGGGTTTTTTTTGGCCTGTTTCAGGTTCATGTTCCCACTATCTCCACTGCTGTTGTTTTTATGCTTCTTCAACAAAGTTCTGATAGTCTGCTCTTCTAGAGCAGCTTTGGCCTTCCCAGTCATTTTGATAACTTGTTTGGCTGTGGCTGAAAAGGTGAGCTGCATGATGGGAAGTACTAGTAGGTGATGAAGGTTTATGAGTGTTGTGCAGGATGTTATGGCAATAACATGGCTAAGATCATTTAAGATGAGTTTTTGAGAAAACTCTTCACAAGGAAATGTCAAGGTGTGATTTCATAGGATAAAAATATTATCATTGGCAGGGTTCAAACCTGCACAGTTTAAAGAGAAACAGATTTTGACTCTGGCAATAACTCAGCTAAGACTAATGAAGATAAGTGTCTGAGATACCGTCTATGATTCAATATTCAAGGCATTTTTTTACAGAAAAAAATGTGACATCTGACAAATTTCAAATCTGTTGCACTCCAATAGAAACAGATTTTGATTCTGCTATGACAACCACTTGGCTAAACACTAGTCTCAGTGGCTTTAAAGTGAACCGATCATGAGCATATGTCAAGGTGCATCTTTATAGAAAAAGAAAATTATCCTTGAAAGGTTTTAAACCTGCACAGTCCAATGACACACAGATTTTAACTCTGGCGATCTCTTGACAATTTCATCTTTGGCAGGTTTTGAACCCATACAGACAGATTTTAATTCTGTCGCACTAATGGCTTGGCTAAGAGCAGTTGCTTCTGATTACAATGAACCCATTCAGAAGTGAGTCCTTAAGGCACATTTATCTGCATTTTGTCAGTTCTTTCAATAGTATGGTCACCATTGATTCTTGTATACTGCTCTTATTGCAAAAGACACAGACTTCTGCTGGGGCTCTTGACTTCAAGACCTATTTACCTAACAATTTCCTTGAAAAAGTGCAGATGGCAGACCATTGCAGTGGGCTCATGAGTGAAAACTGACAATAAAAAGATTGCACAGTTGAATCCAATGGGGATGTTAGAAATCAATGTCTGTGCCCAAGCAAATGTCAGAGCATAGTTTTCATACAAAACAAATGTTGCAATTGGTGGGTTTGAGCAGGATAAAAAAAATTGATCATGCTATTGAAAGAACTGACAAAATGCAGATAAATGTGCCTTGAGGATTCACTACTGAATGTATTTATTGGGTTTAAAACCTGCCAATGATAATGTTTTTATCCTATGAAATCACACCTTGACATTTCCTTGTAAAGAGTTCTCTCAAAAATTCATCTTGAATGGTCTTGGTCATGTTATTCCCATAATAGATTCAAAATCTGATTATCCTGGACTAAGCAGGTTTGAAACCTATATAATTGCATTTTTTGTTGTTCATTGAAATATACCTCAAACATTTGCTCATGAATGGTTGTCTCAAAAACTCATTATAACCAGTCTTAGGCATGTGGTTATTACAACAGAATTAAAGTCTGTTTCTCTTGGACTGTGCATACTTGAAATATGCTGAGTGACACATGTTTTTGACCAGCTCAGTCCAGGAAAATCAGATTTTGACTTTTATAACTCCTGAGCTAGGACTGATTGCAAACCTGTAGGCTTTGATTGAAACATACATATTTTGAATCTATTGTGGCAATGATGTGAAAAAGAGAATTTATAATGGTTTTGAAGAAAACGATATATCCATGAGGAAATGCCAGGGTTTAATTTCATAGAATAAAAATATCATCATCAGCAGGTTGAGTGACAACTGACAATGGAAGGATTGCATATGGTCGGACTCAAGGGGGATGTTAGAAATTAATGTTAAAACTGACAAAATGCAGGATAAATGCACCTTGGAGATTCACTTCTGAATGGATTCATTGGAGTGCATCTACTGGTCTTAGCCAAGCAGTTAATATGACAGAATCCAAATCTGTCTGTGCAGGTTCAAAATCTGTCAAAGATGAAATTGTAAGTGATCATTAGATTCAAAATCTGTTTCTCTTGGACTAGGCAGGTTTGAAACCTGCTAATAATGACATTTTTATTTCATGAAATCACACCTGTCCCATACCAAGCACTGCATTTTTGTGTGCGCCCTACATTACACGTCCATCTATTGTCTAATCCAATACTGCTAGTATATTTTCATCATTTTATTTTTATGTCATGCTGAAGGATACTCTCAGCTATAGACCACAATGTATAGATGCAAGAGAAGCATTCTTGCTACATTCTGCTGCAAAACTAGTACAAAGCAGTAACTACTGGGCTGCATCGAAAAGATAAAACAGACATGAATGATATCACTTTGATGAATACTTTAAAATGTCTAACTGTCCCTATTTTCTTGCACTTGGGTCTCTGAGAATCTATACACTGCAAAATATTTTACAAGCAGATTTTGAACCTGCATGGTTTGAAAGAAACAGATTTTGACTCTGTTGCAACATCTACTTGACTAAGACCAGTGATATGAAGCTCTCAGGAAAGTACACATGAGTCAATATCAAGGTGTGTTCTAACAGGAAAAAAAAAACATATATCAATCATGAGGAAATGTTAAGGTGCAATTTCATAGAATAAAAAATTATTATTAGCAGGTTTTAAACTTGCACATTTCAAGAAAAACAGATTTTGACTCTGGTAATTACTTGGCAATTTGATCCTTGGCAGACTTCCAACCCACACAGACAGATTTAGATTCTGTCACATCAACTGCTTGACTAAGACTAGTGAGATGCACTTCTAATGAACTCATTCAGAAGTGAATCCTTAAGGCACATTCATCTGCATTTTGTCAGTTCTTTCAATAGCATAGTCACTGTTTATTCTTTTATCCTTGATGCAAAGTTTGATATATAACCAAAGTCTTGATGCAAGCTCAGAATGATAAGCACAAGAACAATTTAATTCTCTCCAAAGGTCTTGACTTGGTTGAAGAAGAAAAGCAGATTACACATCAAACTTTCAAGTTTGATTCCAATGACCTGGGTAATGAGGAAGAATACACATCTGTCAAGGCTGAGATTCAAGGCAAAGATTCAAAAGAGCCATCTAACCACTATTTGCTCATGTATAAGGTTGAGGTACACTGTGTTTAAGGGCCTTTCATCATCATGTTGCTATCCTCTTGCTTTTGAAAGTGCTGTATTGCAGTCTATATTTAATTCATCTTTTTAGCTGAGGGAAACATTGTAAGTGACAGAGAACAGTGGACTTGTCTTGCAAATTCACTTCTGAATGTTTTCTTTAAAGATGCTTCTAATTGTTCTTAGCCAAGCAGTTAATACGACAGAATCAAAATCTGTTTCTCTTGGACTGTGCAGGTTTGAAACCTACCAATGATATATTTTATTTTTTATAAAACCACACCTTTACATATGCTCATGGTCAGTTTGCTTACAAGCTTGTCAGAGTTGTGTTCAGACAAGTGGTTATAGTTTCCAAAACTATACAGATGTCCAGTTTGACTTTTCTTCTTGGTTCTTCTATCAACTTCTTGATTATTATATTCCAATCACTACTATCTATGGCTCATCATGATGAACCTTGTGTTTAGCCAAGTGATCATCCTCACAGAATCAAAATCTGTTTCTATTAGACTGCAACAGGTTTGACAATTGTCAAATGTCACATTTTTGCATAAGAACATGTCTTAAATATCTGCTGATAGACAGTATCTCAAAAATTGATCTTCATCAGCCTTGGTCAAGTTGTCATCAGAGTCAAAATCTGTTTCTCTTGCACTTTGCAGGTTTCAAACCTGCCAGTGGTAATATTTTTATTCTATGCAAATACACCCTGTCATTTCCTAATGTGGTTACAAAAATATCAGAGCTCAGCATTCAGTGAATTCCACCATGAAACCAAAAGCAGGTGAAGTTCACCGGCTGGATCACCCATGAGGTCGGTGATGATGACAAGCTTGCAAGGTGACAATCACCATCATCCAGTAGTGTTCACCGTGTGAACAGGTGCATGGAACAAGGTGAACATAACTGGAATTTTTGCCGATTTCACCATCTTGTCAAAAGGCCTTTCGGGTGACGAAGTTCACCATCTTTTCTGGTGCTTTTGACCACTCACCTGTCATGCACCATAGCTGTATAATCAACCACATTTCTGGTGTTTTTGACCATGTATTGTAGTGGCAATATACACCGGATTTTCTGGTACCTTTGACCATGTACAATAACTGCCAGATTTTCTGGTGATAAACACTGCAAATCCACCTGCTGCTTATCCTGATTTGCCTGTATTGTCTTCTTCGTTGTTCTCGTCGCCACTCCCATGCTCACTGCTTTTGGCTTCTTCCTCCGACTCACTACCACTCACATCGAAATGAGAATGTGTCTTGCATCGACTACTGTTCCCCTCACCTTGAGCCTTCCTCTTGTGGTTGGATTGTTTTCTTTTGTTTTGCAGATACTGCTTTGTTATCTCAGCTGTAGCCCAGTCATTCTGGAACTGCTTGAGGTAAGGGTGCTCACGACGGGCCTATAACCACAACAGTCTTTTAGCTCAGTCCTCGTTCTCTCGCTATTGACTCACTAGTTTGAAAATTTTACTCAAAACTTCTGCAGGTTGATGAACATATTTTGTCCTGAAGTCAAGTCCTACTTGGGCACACAGCAAGTGCACGTCGCCCTGTTTGTTCCATCAAAATCAGTTAGATGCATGGTACGTAAAATATTGCATCTCACCTGGATTGAAATGTATTGATTTCTGGCATCTTCAAGTCCCATAGCTCTCATCAACCGTCCACGACCATCATCCCTCATATTAGCAGTTGTAGGCCAGGGGATCAATTTATCTGTTTGTCCATCGTGGTCTGACCGGGTCATATTTTTAATATTTTCTTCGGCAGCTCTTTTTGCAGCATCTGCCTCCTGTACTGCTCTTTCGGCCACAGCACGGGCAGCATTCTCTCGGGCCAAACGGGCTCCACAATACATCAATTGTCAATCTTGACAATTATAATAAATTGTATGTCCATACCTTCTAACTCTTTGATTTTTCCTGCTAATTCTGCATTTTGGTCAGCTAAGACTTGTTTTGTAGTGTTGTTGGTCTTTCCAGCGGTCTTCGGAGTTCCACCTGTTGGCTTCATCAATTTGGCTGATCCACTGGCATTAGCCTTCGCTGTGGGTTGCGAGTTTTCTTTGTTGGCCATCGGGGGTATCCAAGGGGTATAGTGTACACCGTAATTGCAACAGGGAGAACCTGCAAACTATGTATATGAAAATACAAGTGAAAATTTGAAGGTTTTGTTTGTTGCTGTATTGCTCTCTGATTTCAAAATTTGACAAGTCTTTTCTGACAATACATTCCCTTATCATTGCAGCATACTATTACACTGTAAATTGTGTCTACATACTCATGCCAAATACATCCAGTTCGCACCAGAAGTTATGCCATTGTTGCAACAAGTGGGTTAGTGCTCGCACAGAACTTAATCATTGCCGTCTCGTTGCCCCACCTCACCTCAAAGCCACCTCGCCATATCTTGCCAAAGTGCTTCAACCACTGGAATGAGCATACACCAGGATGAGTGCTACAATCAAGGGGGACATAGTGGACAGGGCTGCGTGAATTTGGGACTCATATGCCTGTGATTTTGCACATGCGACAAGGGGAATACCCATTGTGGCCTTTGATCTGCATGACCATAGATATTGCAGGCATGTCTCCACTGATGATGATGAGGTAGGCATGCAGTGCAAACAGGACAATTTCGAGTGCATCAAATGCACACACACCTGCTGCAAGTTTCATCAATTCCTCGACAAGAGGCCACAGAAACAAGTTGAAATCCTTCGGCTTCTTTGGCCCAGGAACAACGCCAGCACATATGATATTTTGCTTGTGGAAACAAGTTTCGGGGGGGGAGGTTGTAGTTGTAGAGGATAAGTGGCCAAGTGGTGGTTTTTTGACCTCAGAATGGGGCAAAACTGTCCGTGGCAAGGCCAAGTGCAATGTCTCTCAGATCACTAAAGTGGTTGTGTGCAAGTTCGTGGCCATTGACACTCACTTTTTTGGCAAGTAGTTTTTGATATAATGAGCCATCAAACATGTCAGTGATGTTCCCCAGCTGATGTGAATGTCCACGAGTGTGATATCTCATTTCTGTAGCTGATTGTCGATTGGCATAGAGGGCTACAAGACGGGGAATGATGGGAATATATGTGAACTGTTTTTGTGGTCGACCAGATAATGTGCGATGGGGAGCTGAGCAGTGTGGACACCTATCCAGGTCTTCAATAGGCCCAACGAAGCAACAGCATGAATTGATGCAACGGTCATACCGAGCAGGTGATAACCCAGCAAGAAATGCGACACGAGCCCTTGTCTGCTTCAAGCTTGGCAGCTGGATATCAGGAAATGCAGATGGAAGCATGTTAAATGCCTCTTTGGTGCTTCGACTTTGCACCTTGTAAGCAAATGCACGAAGAACATGTTTATCATAGGAGCTGAGGTCGTCTCCTGAAAATCCACTTGTGAGCTGGTATCCACGGATGTCATGTTGACAGCATACCCATTTCATACAGTTCTCGTTCGACATTCTCCCCCATGAACTCATCTTCAGGATCACTTTCAACACCAATATTGCAGTCCCCATCAGAATCAGAATCAGAATCAGCTTCATCATCCAAGTTGCCCTCTTCCTCATCATTTGAGTCCAAATCATGACCTCGCACGACTGATTTTGCAGTAGCCAAGGCTGCCTGGACTGGATCCTCATATGGTTCAACTTGAAATTGATCGTCATAACTAATGTCATAGTCGGCATCAAGATCCTGGGTCTCAAGGGTTGTCAGACATGGAAGCTGAGCTTGTAGTAATGGACTCGGAGGTGATAGAATAGGTTGTGGAATTTTTTGAGGGGCTCATTCATTGACTGCCATCAAAAATACAACCCACAGAACCTACCAATGCATACACACGAGGAAATGGTGGCACAGGGATGCGAGGTTCAATTGGCACTGACAGCTGCTGAAGCTGAACATCTTGCCAAGTCATATGGTGTCAAGGGTGTTTCGATTCTCACTTACCTCTCCTCAATTCTATTCCCAAAATCTTTTCCTCATGATTTTATGCATCTGATCTGGGAAAACACCATTAAAAACCTTATTCTGCTCTGGACGGGGGAGTTCAAAGGCATTGACACTGGTTGCGAGTCATACGAGCTTGGTTTAGAAGTCTGGGAAGCGATTGGGAAGGCAACAGCTGCTTCAGGAGGGACTCTTCCTTCTGTGTACTGTGCTTGCCCACCAAATCCAGTAACAGAACGGTCAGCATGCACAGCTGACTCCTGGTCCTTTTGGACACAATATTTAGGTTCTGTCCTCCTCTGTCAAAAGTTCTCAAAAGCAAAGTACTACAAACACTTTGTGAAGCTTGTGAAGATACTTCATGTCTGTCTCCAATTCAAGCATTCAGCACAAGACGTCGAAGATTTGCGAGTTGGATTTGAATCTTGGGTCAAAGAGTTTGAAGAGTAAGTGTGAGTTTGTTCTTACATTATTTAAGTATATCTAACTATGCAAGATAGAATATATTACCAGAATGATCCTCAACACGCAGGAGTATGTCCGATAATCATCCATGCCCTCCTCCATATTGCCGATAGCATTGAGGAGACAGGCCCCATTTGGACATCATGGGCATTTCCAATGGAACGATTTTGTGGTCATCTTCAGCCCATAATCAAGAGCAAGCACCATCCAGATGCATGCATTGCACGATACATTGTTGAAGAGGCCCAGCTCACACAGGCATCACTAATTCATAACATGGCAGAAGAACTCTCATTGCACAAGCCACTGAATGGAATGGTGGCAGGGCAGTTCACACACGAGTCCTGTGCGTGATTACATGTGTTTCTGTTCATGTGTTTGTTACTAACATTGTTGATTGGACTAGATCCTACCTGTGTGCTTCTCCTGCCACAACAAAAGGGGCCCGATGCCATAGATGATTCACTTTACAGCAAGATCATCAAGGCACTTGCAACACGGTTGGATACTACTCCCACTGTCCTCAAACAGGTCGTTTTTCGCAAACATATGGACCAATGGGGAAAAGTTCGTCGGCTAGAGGGAGGAGACACTATGATATGTGCAAGGCTTGTTAACAAGCAGGTGGATTCGCGTGATGCGACTTTTGTTTGGGTGAGCACATGCATATGATCTACTTCACTGTTAAATGATTCAATGGCACTGTAGTATGAATCTCTCGTGGATAGAAATACTCGTCAGTGAAACATGCCATCAATCTTTGAGAAACAAACATTTTACGGTCAGCTCCAGTACTTGTTTGTCATCAATGTGCCTGCCAATCCAACTATTCACCTCGACGCACCCTTAATAATATTCTTTGCTGCATTACTTCCCTGTCTTCTGACTGCCTCATCAGCTCACCTGGATGTGCTCGACATTCACTTCTACTCAGCAATGGGAACATCTTTGGATATCGTAGACATTGTCTGCATTCAATGTTTGGTGGGACGGGTGCCACTCAATGACAATGGTCGAAGCTGGGCTATAATTGACCGCAGTGGTGATCTTGCTCGTGCAGTATTTGAAGACTAACTTCAAGAGGCAGAATGTGGTCTTCATAGCTTAATATTCAATTTGATGTAAAGCTTGTAATGTGAACAAATACAGCCTCTAGGAAACATTTATGCATGAGGAATTTTTTTTACCTCCAGGAGTTAAGCCTTGCACTGCACATCACACAGTTCCTTCTGAGCTTGCCATTGCGCCATCACGATGGAATTGATAAAGTCTTCTGGTACCTGGAGCATTTTGACCAGTGGAGAGACTCGGACACCAGCCTGCTCGTGCTCAGCCTGTTCGGCGAGGATGGCAAGGTATTCATCACCTATGGAGATATCATTGGTCACTTTGTCATTAGTAACACCCAAGAATGTAAGACATACTGAATTCAACAGAGTTGGAGGCATTGATTGGTAATGTATAGCATCGGAACATCCGAGGCCTGAAAACAGGCATTGATCAGCAAATACAAAGAGGAATCACGAGAATCACTCACCGTTTTGGTGCACTGGGAGGATTTTCAGATGCCTGCTCACCACCAAAGACATTTTCATTGCTCGGATCAGCGAATTGAGGTGTGGGTAACTCAGTCCGTTCACTTGTGATTGAGTTGGAGTCAGAGACAGTGCAGGCAGTAACGGAGGAGACAATTTGTATGCTTACTGTTTGGCTGTTTGCAAGGAGGCTCGTGGTGTGGCCATCATGATCGAGTGTTGAATTGAGTAAGAGTCAGTGAGAGTCAGCTGAGGATCATGATAGTTAGAGCTGTATTGGCCACAGAGCGAGTTGGGACTTACTTGGTGTACTATATATACTGACACACAAAGAAAGGTGATGAGGTACTTAGCACTAGTACTAGTACTGGCAATACCAGTGCAGATAAGCCAAAAATTGTCATTGGTCGACAAAATTAGAAGGTGTTGAAGGCTACTAGCAGAGCCGGTGATGTTCAACTAGCATCTCGCAGGTGTAAGGGTAGTGTTGGTAATCACCTGACAACACAGTGTTGCAAAATCACCTGTCAATCACCTGTCACCATCTCATTACCTATTTAGTAGGTGAAATGGACATTTCACCTGTGGAAGGGGTGACAATAACCTCCTTCTGGTTTCATAGTGTTCATGCACTCATGATATGGTGGTCTCCATATATGTTATTTCACACCAAGTAACATATATTTACATGCTCCCTTCACAAGCACTTTGGCTCTGCCTCGTAGGAGCATGTTTAGTGAGGCATATGTGCCTCTGTTTCTGGTTTTGTAACTTAGCTTTCCACAATGCACTACCACTATATGGTTTCATCATGATGAGCCATAGATAGTAGTGATTGGAATATAATAATCAAGAAGTTGATAGAAGAACCAAGAAGAAAAGTCAAACTGGACATCTGTATAGTTTTGGAAACTATAACCACTTGTCTGAACACAACTCTGACAAGCTTGTAAGCAAACTGACCATGAGCATATGTAAAGGTGTGGTTTTATAAAAAATAAAATATATCATTGGTAGGTTTCAAACCTGCACAGTCCAAGAGAAACAGATTTTGATTCTGTCGTATTAACTGCTTGGCTAAGAACAATTAGAAGCATCTTTAAAGAAAACATTCAGAAGTGAATTTGCAAGACAAGTCCACTGTTCTCTGTCACTTACAATGTTTCCCTCAGCTAAAAAGATGAATTAAATATAGACTGCAATACAGCACTTTCAAAAGCAAGAGGATAGCAACATGATGATGAAAGGCCCTTAAACACAGTGTACCTCAACCTTATACATGAGCAAATAGTGGTTAGATGGCTCTTTTGAATCTTTGCCTTGAATCTCAGCCTTGACAGATGTGTATTCTTCCTCATTACCCAGGTCATTGGAATCAAACTTGAAAGTTTGATGTGTAATCTGCTTTTCTTCTTCAACCAAGTCAAGACCTTTGGAGAGAATTAAATTGTTCTTGTGCTTATCATTCTGAGCTTGCATCAAGACTTTGGTTATATATCAAACTTTGCATCAAGGATAAAAGAATAAACAGTGACTATGCTATTGAAAGAACTGACAAAATGCAGATGAATGTGCCTTAAGGATTCACTTCTGAATGAGTTCATTAGAAGTGCATCTCACTAGTCTTAGTCAAGCAGTTGATGTGACAGAATCTAAATCTGTCTGTGTGGGTTGGAAGTCTGCCAAGGATCAAATTGCCAAGTAATTACCAGAGTCAAAATCTGTTTTTCTTGAAATGTGCAAGTTTAAAACCTGCTAATAATAATTTTTTTATTCTATGAAATTGCACCTTAACATTTCCTCATGATTGATATATGTTTTTTTTTTCCTGTTAGAACACACCTTGATATTGACTCATGTGTACTTTCCTGAGAGCTTCATATCACTGGTCTTAGTCAAGTAGATGTTGCAACAGAGTCAAAATCTGTTTCTTTCAAACCATGCAGGTTCAAAATCTGCTTGTAAAATATTTTGCAGTGTATAGATTCTCAGAGACCCAAGTGCAAGAAAATAGGGACAGTTAGACATTTTAAAGTATTCATCAAAGTGATATCATTCATGTCTGTTTTATCTTTTCGATGCAGCCCAGTAGTTACTGCTTTGTACTAGTTTTGCAGCAGAATGTAGCAAGAATGCTTCTCTTGCATCTATACATTGTGGTCTATAGCTGAGAGTATCCTTCAGCATGACATAAAAATAAAATGATGAAAATATACTAGCAGTATTGGATTAGACAATAGATGGACGTGTAATGTAGGGCGCACACAAAAATGCAGTGCTTGGTATGGGACAGGTGTGATTTCATGAAATAAAAATGTCATCATTAGCAGGTTTCAAACCTGCCTAGTCCAAGAGAAACAGATTTTGAATCTAATGATCACTTGCAATTTCATCTTTGACAGATTTTGAACCTGCACAGACAGATTTGGATTCTGTCATATTAACTGCTTGGCTAAGACCAGTTAGATGCACTCCCAATGAATCCATTCAAAAGTGAATCTCCAAGGTGCATTTATCCTGCATTTTGTCAGTTTTAACATTAATTTCTAACATCCCCCTTGAGTCCGACCATATGCAATCCTTTCATTGTCAGTTGTCACTCAACCTGCTGATGATGATATTTTTATTCTATGAAATTAAACCCTGGCATTTCCTCATGGATATATCGTTTTCTTCAAAACCATTATAAATGCTCTTTTTCACATCATTGCCACAATAGATTCAAAATATGTATGTTTCAATCAAAGCCTACAGGTTTGCAATCAGTCCTAGCTCAGGAGTTATAAAAGTCAAAATCTGATTTTCCTGGACTGAGCTGGTCAAAAACATGTGTCACTCAGCATATTTCAAGCATGCACAGTCCAAGAGAAACAGACTTTAATTCTGTTGTAATAACCACATGCCTAAGACTGGTTATAATGAGTTTTTGAGACAACCATTCATGAGCAAATGTTTGAGGTATATTTCAATGAACAACAAAAAATGCAATTATATAGGTTTCAAACCTGCTTAGTCCAGGATAATCAGATTTTGAATCTATTATGGGAATAACATGACCAAGACCATTCAAGATGAATTTTTGAGAGAACTCTTTACAAGGAAATGTCAAGGTGTGATTTCATAGGATAAAAACATTATCATTGGCAGGTTTTAAACCCAATAAATACATTCAGTAGTGAATCCTCAAGGCACATTTATCTGCATTTTGTCAGTTCTTTCAATAGCATGATCAATTTTTTTTATCCTGCTCAAACCCACCAATTGCAACATTTGTTTTGTATGAAAACTATGCTCTGACATTTGCTTGGGCACAGACATTGATTTCTAACATCCCCATTGGATTCAACTGTGCAATCTTTTTATTGTCAGTTTTCACTCATGAGCCCACTGCAATGGTCTGCCATCTGCACTTTTTCAAGGAAATTGTTAGGTAAATAGGTCTTGAAGTCAAGAGCCCCAGCAGAAGTCTGTGTCTTTTGCAATAAGAGCAGTATACAAGAATCAATGGTGACCATACTATTGAAAGAACTGACAAAATGCAGATAAATGTGCCTTAAGGACTCACTTCTGAATGGGTTCATTGCAATCAGAAGCAACTGCTCTTAGCCAAGCCATTGGTGCGACAGAATTAAAATCTGTCTGTATGGGTTCAAAACCTGCCAAAGATGAAATTGTCAAGAGATCGCCAGAGTTAAAATCTGTGTGTCTTGGACTGTGCAGGTTTAAAACCTTTCAAGGATAATTTTCTTTTTCTATAAAGATGCACCTTGACATATGCTCATGATCGGTTCGCTTTAAAGCCACTGAGACTAGTGTTTAGCCAAGTGGTTGTCATAGCAGAATCAAAATCTGTTTCTATTGGAGTGCAACAGATTTGAAATTTGTCAGATGTCACATTTTTTTCTGTAAAAAAATGCCTTGAATATTGAATCATAGACGGTATCTCAGACACTTATCTTCATTAGTCTTAGCTGAGTTATTGCCAGAGTCAAAATCTGTTTCTCTTTAAACTGTGCAGGTTTGAACCCTGCCAATGATAATATTTTTATCCTATGAAATCACACCTTGACATTTCCTTGTGAAGAGTTTTCTCAAAAACTCATCTTAAATGATCTTAGCCATGTTATTGCCATAACATCCTGCACAACACTCATAAACCTTCATCACCTACTAGTACTTCCCATCATGCAGCTCACCTTTTCAGCCACAGCCAAACAAGTTATCAAAATGACTGGGAAGGCCAAAGCTGCTCTAGAAGAGCAGACTATCAGAACTTTGTTGAAGAAGCATAAAAACAACAGCAGTGGAGATAGTGGGAACATGAACCTGAAATAGGCCAAAAAAAACCCTACTGCCTAGTAATACTCCCACCAATAGCGCAGGATCTATGGATGAAGATGAGCCAGTTGAAAAAAATGGGCCTCTAACAGCACCATTGTCTCCATGTCCAGAGTTTATTTCTGGTCAGCAGGCTGTTGTGTGTACTGAGGAAGAAGAGAATGCATCATAAAAAGATGATGAGACAACAGAAGACAAGCT